CTTCCAACCCTTTATTAATGACAATATTCTGTAGGGCGTACCGTTTCTAACTCAACAAAAACTATCTTAAAATTTGTAAATTTTGGAGGAATATAAACATCTTCATCTAAAACTTTGAATCGTAAACCAGCAGACTTCCAACTTTTTATTAATGACAATATTTTGTAGGGCGTACCGTTTCTACCTCAACAACAAACCATCTTAAATTTGTAAATACCGGTGCAATATGAACATCTTAAATCTAGAAACTTTGAATCATAAACCCTACTGATAAATTGTAAACCGAACGATTTCGAACCTTTTATTAACGGCAACATTCTGTAGGGCGTACTGTTTCTACCTCAACAAATACTACCTTAAATTTTTAAATTCAAGAGAAATATCAACATCTTATTCTAGACAATTTGATGAATCTAATCAACCAAATGTACCATATTTACAAGTTAATCAGGTGACCACCACTGTATAAAAAGATCTTGCAGGATTCGTTAATGTTACATTTACCCAATGGTTGTAAGACGTTTAAACTCCTGCTTTATTCTACCCAAGTCTGTTGTAGGTCTGTTGACCAGGGACTACACTATCTATACTAATATTTGTGACTGTCGTCTGTCTCTTCAGGGTTGATAGCTACACTACAGCTGTCTCGAGGCTAAAATTTGGTGTATTGAGTAACTCGGAACGCGGAGTAACATAGGCCTGGTAGCGATGGACACCACTTCTGGTTTCAGAGTTATGCCATTTCTGGTTCATGGCTACGGCAGGTCAACCGGGAGTCTTCACATAAGCTATACAGGTCACAATTCTATGGAATACAATTACTGCTTATTACTGAATGACGTTTCAACTAGACATCTCTAGTCAGTGTCAAGCCTGTATATTCCAGTTCAATTACTAAATGCCATTTAAACAATTCACATAAGCTATAAGTCGGGATTTTTAAGGTTCATCCATAGTGGACAAAAAGAGAGAGAGAAAATGGGTTTAACGTCCACTCAACACAAACTAGGTCATTTTGGGACTAACATATAGTTTAATTTTATTTTAATAATTTGCTCGCACGTAGGGGTCTTTAGCAGTGGGAGGAAACCGGAGGAACCAGAGAAAACCCACGAGGTTGGACGGGAGACCCTACTCCTCCTTAGCGAACAAGCAGACAACTGTAGCAAAAAGTAGCAATATGGTGTCTGATGTGATTTCTATTTGCGGTAGGAGAGAACAAGTAAATCATTGAATGTTTCACAACAATTGACTTTTTTTAATTTGTAAGTGGCATACAAAAAGGTGCGAAACTATTTATCAAAAACTATTTTGTAGAAGCAAAAGAACTGTAGAAAATATTCCAGACTGTTCATGTACATTATATGTATACAGCTGGGAATGGAGGCTATTGGTTGCCAACAGTTACCACATGCTTTTCTCTTCAGTTTCACCCCAATATCCCACCATTGATCTTTACACTGTATTTAGCTTCAAGGTCTTTACAAATAAAGGCATTAAAGTCAACCGGGTCAGACGGCTTGCTGTGTAGGTTGAACTATCACCGACAAATCGGACAATGGCAACACCTTTAATGTTACTTAACTGTTGCAAGTTTGAAGTAAATAAATATGGGTATTATCCAGTGTATGTGAATAAAAGGACAGTACATTTATAATATATCAAAATTTGAATCATGAAATTAGAATGCCGATATTTTGGTACCACTATGGTTTAACCAGAATGTTATTTTCAGTGATCCAACAGGCTGAAAAGCAAATGAAAGAAATGCTTTTAAATGTCTGTGCAACCCATGGTTATATTTTTTCTTCTAAACTTATCAAGATTGTACTTTACATTCCGTCCAATTTCCACTGCCAGAGATCTTTAATGCACACAGCCAATTTTATCATAGCACCAATCATGTTTTTTTTTTTCAAACACACCCAGTAAAATAATTTGATAGTGTAGCTTTACAGAGTGTCTCCACTTATCTAAATTCAATGGGGAACTGCAGGGTATGAGATTTAACATCCACACAAACTAAGTCATTTCGGGACTAACATTGTTCAATTTTATTTCAATAATTCGCTTGCGCGTGGGGGTCTTTAGCAGTGGGAGGAAACCGGAGGACCTGCGGAAAACCCACAAGGTTGGAGCAGTGGGAGGAAACCAGATGACTTGCTGGACACCCACAAGATTAGTCAAGCGACTCTACTCCTAGTCATGTACAAGTTTCGGATCAAAACCATGCCAGTTGATCTAAACACGATTAAAAACATGAACTATGTCATTTGGGGACTAACAAAAAGGTACAATTATTCTGAATAATTCGCTTGTACCTGTGTCTTAAAGTGGGAGGAAACCAGACGACCTGGAGAACACCCACAAGGTTAGAATACAAAAAAAAGATAATTCACATACAACCTTGGGATTGAAACCACGTCAGCTGTAAATGACACACCTTATGATCTAAAGTGTATTCATTAGACAATTCTGACCCTCCCCCACCTAAATGTAAAAAATGACCTGAGAAGGAAATGATCCGATCGGACATCTATTGCACTAACGCACTTACTCCCCTGTAACAAATTCTACACCCATTATTATATTGAGGTCAGATTTTAGGAGACCATTAAACATCAAAAGTTGATATATCTAACAAATTTCTCATAATTTATTTATAGCCAGTCTGTTTATAAATTTGTAAGCAAATTATAAAATTGTGTCAGTTAGTCGCCATCAAAATACAACCTGTGCCAACGCCCTGAATACGAATAAAATTAAACATACATAGCAAGAGTTTTGTTTTAACTATATGACCCAAAACTTGATTTACATTATTCTTATATTCTGATCAAAATTGGTATTTGGAGTTGGGAGTTTGAAAAACAAGAGTAGGATAGGAATGAGAGAGAGAGAGAGAGAGAGAGAGAGATCAAAACACCAGTCATTTGGGAACTAACCAAACGGTACAATTATTCTGAATAATTCGCTTGTACCTTGGTCTTAAATTGGGAGGAAACCAGAGGACCTGGTTAGAAAAAAAAAAGAAGATAATTCATAGACATGCCTATCTTTAATAGGGTAACCCAGATGAAAGGACGAATAAAAAAAAAAAAAAAAAATGATAATTCATAGACATACCTATCTTTAATAGAGTAACCCAGATGAAAGGACGTATAGAACCGTATGCTGTTATATATTTAAGACTCTTATAAAACAAGAAAAGTAAAATATAAAACTCTTTTCAAGTGATAAAATTTACTGTCAATATTTATGAGTATGTGCTCTCCTTCTTTTTATCAAAATGTATTAAATAAGATATAAATGGGTCCACAAAACCCCCGTTCACGACATGTTTTAAAATCAAAGGACCAGATAAAAGACTGAGGTCAACTAATAATACAACTGGAAAGATTTACAACTTAATATAAGTTTTCCTAATACAAATACAATCAAAGCCCATAGAGGTTTTTAGGCAGCTTGGAGGACCCTCGTCGTGAAATTGAATGTGATTTTCAATTGAAATAAGGCTTTAAGATTAGTCTTGTTCATTGAGTACTAAAATGAACCATACAATACATAGTGAAACTCGTGACCTAGAGAAGAGGAAAATAAACATGGACGAACCCAGCCTTTTATTAAGTTTGACACTCAACTCTTTGATGTCTGCACACTGTTTGATTATAGAATTAGATACAGCTTGGAATATTGGCAAACTGGCTTCTTTTGTAACTGTAAACAGTTGTGTTCAGTTATCAAACACTCTTATTGAAGGCTATCATAATTCAATAATGCAATATTAACAAGCCAGTCCTATTGAAGAACTACAAGTTCAATTAAAACCCTCCTTTCAGACAACTCAAATCGAAACATGAAAACTGCATAGAATATGCATTCAAACTTATCTCTTTTCAAACAAAAATAATAAGGTCCCTTATGCATCAGATTTAGATTAGAATTTATGGGTATCTTTGATGTTAGATGGACAATTATTACTTGTCTTCAGAATATTATGGCTTTTTTTTTCACAATTTTAAAATTAAAATACTATGAAAGATTTCCCGGTCAAAGACTCTAAGAGAGAGAGAGAGAGAGAGAGAAATGGGGTTTAATGTCCACTTGACACAAACTAGGTCATTTCGAGACTAACATATGGTTTAATTTTATGTCAATAATTCGCTTGCGCGTAGGGGTCTTTAGCAATGGGAGGAAACTGGAGGACCCGGAGAAAACCCACGAGGTTGGACAGGTGATCCTACTCCCTTGTCATGTACAACCGGGATTCGAAACCACGCCAGTTGACTCAATGACAGGCCTTATGATACAGCGCGCGCGTGCTAACCATTTGGCCATCCAACCCCCAAAGGCTCTAAGAATGATAAATTTATGATTATTATAACCACTGACTGTAATGTGAGCCTATTGACTAAATACTTTCTCAATAAACCTATTATCGTTAATCTTTATTATCATTACATGTTGTGGCCTGGAAATTACGACTTTAACATAAATGGACAAAATGTCAGGCACTAACAGAACCAGCACCCAAGATCTTGAACTTTGCACCAGAGATGTGTTAATAAATATCAATAAAAACACTGTGGCAGACACAGGGCTGGTTGTAGAAAATGTGGGGCCCAATTTGAGAGGCCTGAAGTTACAGAATATAAATACATTGCAGCAGGATATGAAAAAATAGCCACACCTGCTGCCAGATTGCCTTGAAATTTTTAAATTGGTGAGCTGTGGTGTCCCTCTTAGTGCGGGGTCCAATTTGGCGAAATTGGTCAAATGTTGTCGAAAACCGGCCCTGGACAGAAAAAATGACAGACACCAAGAGTCTAAAGTGGTACTGGACATTGTCTGTGACAGGTGCCTTTAATTCCAGGCTTTTATAACATGTGAAGGGGAGAATTGGATCCAGACAGTGGTGTTTCTGTTTACTCATCTAAAAATTCCACAAGGACAAGCGTGAGATCTATGCTACATGTTTTTAATAATGTTAAAGGGCTTACCTTCCGTGAGATTTCTGCCTGGATTAAAAGCTCCACGTGGTGTACTGGGAGGTATTAAATCACAACTTGTTTGTTTAGATATCCTACATCCATACTGATTCTCACTTCTATAATTAGAAAATTATAACGATAACGTTAATAGCTCATAATGAATACGGTCCTAATTATAAAATCACATTGATTAGCAACTTTAAAAAGGTTTGCTTGTGAAATATTTATTTAACAAACAGTTGCCATGCAAGATACGCCCACATTTTGCAAGAGATGGACAGAGGACAAGCTCAAAAAAAGAAATGATTTTTCGTACAATCAGGTGCCATAATCCATGAAGTTACAATCCGATATATGCCAATATCGACAGGAACCAAGATCTTTTGGAGATAAACCTATGTATCAAGTTTCGTCAAACTCAGATAAGAATTGTGACCTGTAGAGTGTTCACAAACCAATTGTGGACTGACAAATGGACGGACAGGGGCAAGAACAATATACATCCACATGAAAATGTGGGCGTATATAAATATAGTTTGTGGAATATGTACTTATGATTATCTAATATTTCAACAGATAACAAGCAAATACGGTCAATGAAGGAATTATGTAATGTGAAAGATTTATATTATTTTCTCTGAAACTTACAGCATGATGATAAGGGTATATTGGGATATCTACAAAAATGGGAGCTGAAGTGGGAGCCATATCAATTCCAATGTAATTGTGAAAAACCACTTACACGCGAACAAAATTATCATAAGGAGTCGGTGTATAAGAATTATTCAAATCTACTTACTTGAAATCTTTAAACTGAATACTACAACAGTCAAGTTTTTGTGTTATTGGCTGCTTCACATGAAATTTGTATAAATTTTCTACCGTTATTTTATTTGTTCTTAAAACTTGAAGATAATTCCTAAGTCTTGTCTGCAAGCTACTAGTAATCTGAAATGGAGAACCATGAAGATATTAGGCTCAGTGTACGACAATAATATGTTATTTAACAAATAAATATCAGTACCTATTCAACAGTCTCTGGTTCAGACTTTAAGTATTAGTCGTTGTTCTTTTTATTTTAGAGGAAAAAAGTTCCCCTTAATGAACACATTGAACAAATTGCTCCCCTGAAAAAGCTCTCTCAGTTTCGATTTAGAAATTAAGGAGAGTGATCTGATATTAAGGAGAGTGATTAGTTGTATGTACCATATGGGAAATGGTTTCGAAGATCAATGATAATAAATATAAACATCGTCTGCTAAATAATAGCACTCGTAGTCATACGATCAGGTCAAACTTTTGCTTCGTCTAAAAATACTTACGATATTCCAAAAGAAATAGCTACTTTAAGACTTTAATATAAATATGTAATGTTGTGGTACTTACTTTGTCTAAATTAGATTTTAAGTTAGTTTCTTCGTTAGTATATGGTAAAGAGTCATAAATAGCCTGAAAAATACAGAAAAAATAACAAGTTAAAGAGAGAGAGAGAGATGGGGTTTAACGTCCACTCGACACAAACTAGGTCATTTCGGGACTAACATATGGTTCAATTTTATTTCAATAATTCGCTTGCGCGTAGGGGTCTTTAGCAGTGGGAGGAAACCGGAGGACCCGGAGAAAACCCACGAGGTTGGACAGGCGACCCTACTCCTTGTCACGTACAACCGGGGATTCGAAACCACGCCAGTTGACTCAATGACAGACTTTATGATTTAGCGCGTGCGTGCTAACAAGTTAAAACAAGGATCTTTATTCACAATATGCATATACGCTCGTGTAACAAAAATAAAACAATTCATAAAACCAATGTAGTTCTGACTCGTGGTGGGGGATAAACAGAGGGTTTGGTTTGGAAACAAGATATCTAAAAGGTGGTAAGGGGCTAAATCTATTTGTTAAGGCCAGCTCAATTTTGTCAAGGTTGCAGAGATGTAAATAAGGTTAGGGCATGTGATCGTTGGCGAGATTGTAGGTTAGGATTAGCGCTAGCCCTGTTTACATCTCGTGACCTATGACAACAAATTGAGCTGGCCTTATCAATTAGTACTAACCATGGTAAGTGTGTACTGTGAAAGTAAAAGTTAGGTATGGCCCCCAATAGTTACATGTTCCTTAACTTGACAGAGAACTGACAATATTGGAGACAGGAAAACTGATCATTAAAGGCTACTTGTTGAAATTGTATGGAAACAAAAAGGGGCTTAACCGCTTAACGTCTTACTTTTCTGCACCAACCGGGCTAATGAGACGGCACGTATGACATGTGCTATACGAGGTGCAGAAGTTTTAGGGGGTTCGGTGAATTCATTTTAAGTTGAAACTGAAGCTGGGCATATACAAATAGTTACATTTAAACAACTATATATATTTGTTGAACTGAGTTCGTACATTTCATCAAACTTTAAACTCAAATTGTCCTTTAAAGTACAAGTAAATATTGAAATATTTTTAAACATACAAATTCCGATTTAATAGGGGGTTTGGTAATTCCCTCGTAACTGAAACTGGGCCATTCGATAGTTAAATTTTAACAGTTAAATATATTTATTCATACATTTCATCAAATATTAAACTCTAAAGTTGGCCTTTAAGTAAAGTATTCAAAATTTTCTAATATTTAAATTCTTAGTTAATAAGGGGTTCAGTAATTTCATTTTAAATTACGATAGTTAAATTTTAACAGCTAAATATATTTATTCATACAATTCATCAAATAGTAAACTCTAAAGTTGACCTATAAGTAATCTATTCAAATATTTCTAAATATTTAAATTCTGAGTTAATATTTATCACTGGAGAGTATTAGTATGTAATTTAATAGCTTATATCTGTAGATTACAATACATCAAAGTATAAGCAAGAAATGACAGAAGTAGTTTTATCTATGTGTGTACTTGAAGGTTTTATCAAGTAGTTTACTGTCTAGTGTGAAGTTTGTTGTGTATTTTTTACTATGTTTTATTGAACTATAAACATGAAAGAGACTTGTATAAAACTGTGTGTATATAGTTACAATACACCTGTTGGGTTTATATCATATATCAGTCTCTGTTCACAAACTCCCGAGGGCCTAGCAAGGGACAACTTACTCAGTCGGATGGGATGAAAAATCGAGGTCCTGTGTACACATTGCCATGCACGTAAAAAAATCACTTGGAAGTTAGAATTTGATATAAGATTATGCAGTAGCACTGATGACCTGGCAAAAGTTACCTCATAGCACACTGTATGGTGTATGCCCGTATCTATTATCCCAGTCGGTGCAGAACAGTAGGACGTTAAACCCTGTTTCATTTCATTTCATCAACTCCACTTTTGAAACCAAATATTAAAGCCGCTGATAGTTATCTGCATTTTTTGGAACAATATCTAATATTTTACAGGTTAAAGTCTCAATATCTAATATTTTATGGCTTAAATTCTAATGTGTGTTATTTGGCATGTTTTTCGGAAAATATCAAGTTTTCCATGACTTTTAATCTAAGTTGAAATGTATGGAATTGGACCATTTTTGGACTGATATCCCTCTTTGAGATTCAACTTTCACAGTATTGACAAATAACAGCATTTCTAACTGCCAAACAATCATTTACATGCATGCCATGGGCATGGGCAGTCCTTCACGTTTAAGGTGCATTTTCACTCCTGCTCCTCTCAACGTACCTCAACTTTCCTTCGAGGGAGTCATTAAAGATCTCCGCAAATTAGCAAAATTGCACTCCTAAATATTGAAATTAATAAACTACTTTCAGTTTTTGTTTATTTTTGAACTGCATATGTTCGAGCTATCAGTTTCCATAGAGGTAATTCAAACAGCCCATATTCACCAAACAGATTTCCCTATTTTTCATTCTGATATTGAATGCTAATGTAAGGCATTATCTTCCATAAGAACATAAACATTTGTAAAGAGAATTTTAAACAAAACTAAAGCATAAATAAAAAAGCCTTAATCCATGAAGTATAATTAAGAAAGGTTTTTTTACAGGAGCTTTTTTTCTAATTTTTGAAATTGGCAAAAGCTTTTTATGGCTCCTTCATGATTTCATAAACGTGAAGGACTGCATGGGGTATAAAAGTGGACCTTGGTTTTTCTGAGATACTTAGCTAACATACAGACAACCAGCTCATGAATACCAGTAGTCTGATAATAACTTAATGATAGTTGGACTATGGACTTGGTAAATAATTGGTAAATAAGTACAAGCATTAAGTTGCTTGTTACTGTATTCAATTTATTTATATTATTCCATTCATGGTTGTAAATAAGAATTCTGAATAAATCCTTTTTAAATCAAAATTATAAAGTCTTGTTACATTTACAAATCACAGAATCGTAATCAAATTTCAACTGATAGAAATTATCAAATATTATATAATCAATTACTAATTAGTGTCAGTAATTAGATCCTTAAATAAATTTGTCTTGACCAGTCATAACAATGGAGAAAGACATAATATTATACAATAGGGTCCTCCATCTTGTTTATATACAATAGGGTCCTCCATCTTGTTTATAAGCAACAGACTAATTCCAGCGTAAATTGTTTCACTGGTATTTGGTAATTGAACTGGAATATACAGGTCACAATTCTATGGAATACAATTACTGCTTATTACTGAGCGATGTTTCAACTAGGCTTCTCTAGTCATTATCAAGCTATGACAAAACAGGAAAATATGACAAGACTTTATATACATATACACAACAACACTTTGCTAATGCTGACCACAAACTAGGTTATTTTGGGACTAACATGTGGTTTATTTTATTTCAATAATTCGCTTGCGTGTAGCAGTCTTTATCAGTGGGAGGAAACCGAAGGACCTAGAGAAAACCCACAACCGAGGAATTGAAACCACGCCAGCTGACTCAATGACAGACCTTATGATACAACACGCACACGCTAACCATTCAGCCATCCAATCCCCCTCAAGTTTTATGAAATACAGAACAGAACTGGTTCAACTTGAACAGTATTATAGTTTACAAGAGATTATCAATATCTCAAGGGGTTGGGTGGCCTAATGGTTTAATGTATGAGCTATAGGTCTGTTATTGAGTCAAATGGCACGGTTTCGATTCCTAGGGTCATCTGTCCAATATCGAGGGGGGTTTTACCCACTGCTAAAGACCCCCTACACGCAAGCTAATAATTATTGAAATAAAATTGAACCATATGTCCTGAGTTTGTGTCGAGTGGAAGAGTTTGTGTCGAGTGGACGTTAAGCCCCATTTCTCTCTCTCTCATGAAATACCTCAAACTACAATCAGTGGCTTAAAAGCTTGACAAGATTGGTAAGTGCATACTGGTCTAGTGCATGAGGATTGTTACGAAAAGGGTCTGAGATAAGAAATCTTAGCCCCCCAATGATTATATCACCATTACACTACCCTTTATCTGTATACTATTACTCTACTTTAACCGATATTTCTACAAAAAAAGTTAACTGAGTGCAAATTGTTAAGAAGAGGACATCATCCTCATTACTATAAACAGATTATTAATCATGTGTTATCAATTAACAATAAGTTTACTGAGTATAAAAACATTAAACAGTCTCCTTCTTGTCTGCGATATCACCCTAGGTAGAAGGGGACATTAAACCCCCATGAACAAACAATCGCTCTTGATTTTTTCTATCCAGACTCTGTATCTCAAATGGCATGATAGCATCTTTAATCAAGGGATGGAGCAGTGGCACAATTTTTTTTTTCCCACACCCATCCATTCCCACTTTAAGCCGGACTAGTCTCACAAACATCAAGACTTATGTGGCTTCTATATTTTTGCATTGTTCTGTACAGATTGTAGAATTTTATAGTTACATGTACATAGCAGAGGTGGATCATAGCCATGTTTGAAAATTGGGTTTTGAAAAATATGGTATTTATTCCGCATTCAAAATGAACGATGGGTTAGATCTAGTTTCGTTTATTATCCGTAGCCCTCGGTCTTGACCGCCATTATGACTCAAACACTTGTCTGAGATATCACCCTCATTGGAGAGAGAGAGAGAGAAATGGGCTTTAACGTCCACTCGACACAAACTAGGTCATTTCGGGACTAACATATGTTTTAATTTTATTTCAATATTTCGCTTGCGCGTAGGGGTCTTTAGCTGTGGGAGGAAACCGGAGGACCCGGCGAAAACGCACGAGATTGGACAGGCGACCCTACTCCTTGTCACGTACAACCGGCAATTCGAAACTACGCCAGTTGACTCAATGACAGGCCTTATGATACAGACCGCACGTGCTAACCATTCAGCCATCCAACCCCCCACCCTCATTGGAAGTGAATGTTAAACCCAACAAACCATAAAGACAAGCATAAAAATAAGGCACCTGTCTCGAAGACATTGTCAGGAACAATCCAAGTGGTGCCTGTTATTCTGTTTAGCACTGATTTGTCTTTTTTCTGTGTTTTTATTCATACATGTCC